GATTAACAAAATAATACCAAGGCACTGATTCGATCTCGTAGAAATACTGAAACCAAGAAAGACTATTGGGGGAATGATTATTTTATAGTTAAAGTCAGTTTAGGACAAGATGGGGGATTCAAGATACCATTCGACTTCTCCCATGAAGAGATAGGAGGTTTTGGGGGCTTTGGTAAGAAGCAAGAAAGTTAGGTCCTAGAAGGTATGGTAAATACATTTGCACTGGGGCAAAGGTGTTTAAACATACCTGGGGAACATACTATGAGAATGGGATGGACGCAGAACACCGATGGGGAATTAAACAAACCCATGATAAATGTAAAACGGAACTGGTGATAACGGTAAAGTCAATTATGCAAGATGACATAGCAAGGAACTATTGGGCCTGTGTTGATGATTTCGGGGCAGATATATGTTTGAGGTTCATTTTTCGGGAGAGAAATGAATCTTCCACCCCCGAGACAGAACAGCAGGTAGATCCAATGTTATCACCAGAGGTATCAAAAACTAGTCTAACACCCCTTGGAAGGCCCTCAGAAGGAATCCTAAATAGCACTAAACCACCAAGGGTAGAAGATTTCCTCATGCAGAAAATGAACCAAGGAGAAGTAGAAGGAATTTCAAATGAGAACTTCTGGGTAAGGTGGATGAACTACACAGCTAGGGCGTTGGGTCAAACTAATTGTTATGCCTGTTCAACAGGTAGGCCAACCCTTCTAACTGCACCTATGCCTCAGACCATGTTCTCTTGTGTGATAGATTTGGGATCAAACCAAACCTCACCTAATTGTTCTGATATTAAAACAACCACTCTTAAAAAGGATAATACTAAGGCACCCCAATTCACCATGACCCCCGGAGATTATCAATGTTATAGACACCAAAGTAATGCGAATAGCAGATCAAATTGGAGAAGGGTTTACAACAACGTTTTTCTGGTGGGTTACAATTAATAAAAATGTTGACTGGATTAATTACATCTACAAAAGGTTTGTTAATTAGACAAGGGATGCAGTAAAGGGAATCTCAGACCAACTATCTGCCACCTCACTCATGACCTGGCAGAATAGGTTGGCTCTCTATATGCTTTTAGCAGAGAAGGGCGGAGTTTGCAAGATGGTGGGAGGTCATTGTTGTACGTTTCTCCCCAACAATCCAGCCCCAGATGGTACAGTAACTAGAGCACTGGCCGGTCTCAAGGCATTAAGTGAAGAATGGGCTGAGAACTCGGGGGTGAATACATCAATAACTGGATGGTTTGATGAAATGTTTGGTAAATGGAAAACTATTGTTGCAACTATTCTGGGTGCAGCTATAGCTTGTATGTGTATGCTTGTTCTTTGTGGATGTTGTCTTATTCCCTGTGTCAGAGGGTTGGTGAGAAAAGCGTTGGAGAAAGCAGTGACCTATGGGCCCATTCCCTACTCAGACCGATGGAACGACGACCTATATCCTCCCACTCTAGTGGACGATGCAGAACATTTCAATACTGATGAACCTGTATTAAATGAGACCATTTTTGATGTTTAGTATACCATCTTTTCAATGAAAGTTATAGTGAAAATCCTAACAAGGAGAGTGAGTTATGGTTGGAAGTAAAATTTGGTAGCAATGCAAGACATATTGTATTTTTATAGTGTGTTTTGTACTAGTGACTTATTTAAAATGCAAAACAAGTTGTATGCCTTGTTGTGTGTTTCATTTTATAAGAATGTATTTTAAATGTGTGTGTGAAATTTAGTCAAAGGGTGGATTGATAAAGAAATGTGTGAGTAAGATATGACTAAAATGTCACACCCTCAGTTAAACTAATTATTAATGACTAATTATTACACCCTGAAACTGTGTGAAATGTGTTAGAATGTGTGAGTGTAGGACCAGTAAAGATTATGACATTGTGGTACTATTTAGCAATGCGAGTAGGAGTTAGACCAGACAACAAAGGACAAGGAGAACTGTCTACAGACAACTGAGAAACCAAGATAAAGAGGCCTCCCAATTTAGGGAGGAGAGAAACCGTTAGGCTTGGAAGAGAGTATGAAATATGTTGCAGGATATTGTGAGGACGGCGATAACTAAGGAATGCAGCCTGCCCGAGCAAGGAGTAGACTATGATAAGAACATGTATGTGTGTGTGTGTGTGTGACCTGATGGTCAGGAGAGCAGTTTTCCAGTGGAAAAATACAGCCCGCCTAAAGTGGGGTGGGATTTTTGCATGACGTGTGTGTATAAAAGATGGACTCTGAAATTGTGATCACAGAATTCTCTGGGCAGAGTTCTCTGAATAAAGACCACCTGGCTATTGCAGACTGGGATCTCTGTCCGTTTCTTGATCCAAAAGCCTTACAACCTTTTGGGAGACGCACAGAGACACTGAAATAGTTAGTTAATAAATTATCTTAACAGAAGTCAGGAACCAATATACACAATCAGTTAGGAAAGCAAAGGCTAGCTTTTTCAAACAGAAATTTGCATCCTGTAGCACTAACTCCAAAATGTTTTGGGACACTGTAAAGTCCATGGAGAATAAGAGAACCTCCTCCCAACTGCCCACTGCACTGAGGCTAGGAAACACTGTCACCACCGATAAATCTACAATAATCGAGAATTCCACCTGGCTACCACTAACCCGGCCACCAGCTCACCCTTGCTCTCCCCTCTTCTCCTTCGCAAAAATTCAGACAGCTGATGTTCTGAAAGAGCTGAAAAATCTGGACCCCTACAAATCAGCTGGGCTAGACAATCTGGACCCTTTCTTTCTAAAATTAGCTGCCGAAATTGTCGCAACCCCTATTACTAGCCTGTGCAACCTCTCTTTCGTAACGTCTGAGATCCCCAGAGATTGGAAAGCTGCCGCGGTCATCCCCCTCTTCAAAGGCGGTGACACTCTAGATCCAAACTGTTACAGACCTATATCCATCCTGCCCTGCCTTTTGAAAGTATTTGAAAGCCAAGTTAACAAACAGATCACCGACCATTTCGAATCCCACCGTACCTTCTTCGCTATGCAATCCGGTTTCCGAGCTGGTCATGGGTGCACATCAGCCACGCTCAAGGTCCTAAACGATATTATAACCGCGATCGATAAAAGACAGTACTGCGCAGCCTTCTTCATCGACCTGGCCAAGGCTTTCGACTCTGTCAACCACCGCATTCTTATTGGCAGACTAAATAGCCTTGGTTTCTCAAATGACTGCCTCGCCTGGTTCACCAACTACTTCTCAAATAGAGTTCAATGTGTCAAATCGGAGGGCCTGTTGTCTGGACCTCTGGCAGTCTATGGGGGTGCCACAGGGTTCAATTCTCGGGCCGACTCTATTCTCTGTGTATATCAATGATGTCGCTCTTGCTGCTGGTGACGCTCGGATCCACCTCTATGCGGATGACACCATTTTGTATACATCTGGCCCTTCATTGGACACTTAACAAACCTCCAAACGAGCTTCAACGCCATACAACACTCCTTCCGTAGCCTCCAACTGCTCTTAAACACTAGTAAAACTAAATGCATGCTCTTCAACCGAACGCTGCTTGCACCCGCCCACCCGACTAGAATCACTACTCTCGGCAGGTCTGACCTAGAGTATGTGGACAACTACAAATACCTAGGTGTCTGGTTAGACTGTAAACTCACCTTCCAGACTCACATTAAGCATCTCCAATCAAAAGTTAGATCTAGAATCGGCTTCCTATTTCGCAACAAAGCCTCCTTCACTCATGCTGCCAAACATGCCCTCGTAAAACTGACTATCCTACCGATCCTTGACTTCAGCGATGTCATTTACAAAATAGCCTCCAACACTCTACTCAGCAAACTGGATGTCACCAATGCCCTATATACTACCCACCATTGTGACCTGTACGCTCTTGTTGGCTGGCCTTCACTACATATCCGTCGCCAAACCCACTGGCTCCAGGTCATCTATAAATCACTGCTAGGCAAATCCCTGTCATATCTTAGCTAATTGGTCACCATAGCAACACCCACCCGTAGTCTGCGCTCCAGCAGGTATATCTCACTTGTCATCCCCAAAGCCAACACCTCCTTTGGCCGCCATTCCTTCCAGTTCTCTGCTGCCAATGACTGGAACGAACTGCAAAAATCTCTGAAGCTGGAGACTGTTATCTCCCTCACTAACTTTAAGCATCAGTTGTCAGAGCAGCTTACCGATCACTGCACCTGTACACAGCCATTATGAAATTAGCCCACCCAACTACCTCATCCCCATATTGTTATTTATTTAGCTAATTTGCACCCCAATATCTCTATTTGCACATCATCTTTTGCACATCTATCATTCCAGTGTTAATACGAAATTGTAACCATTTTGCACTATGGCCTATTTATTGCCTTACTACATTCGCACATACTGTATATATATTTGCTGTTGTATTTCTGACTTTATGTTTTGTTTACCCCATATGTAACTCTGTGTTTACCCCATATGTAACTCTGTGTTGTTTTTTATCGCACTGCTTTGCTTTATCTTGGCCAGGTCGCAGTTGTAAATGAGAACTTGTTCTCCACTGGCTTACCTGGTTAAATAAAGGTGAAATAAAAATAAATAAATACATTTGCATGAAATGGATGGATGGAAACCCAACAGTGTTAATATCATCATATTTACACAACTATGATAGCATCATATTGGTCAGGGCACTACAGTGCGACCATTTTACTCACATACGTGCCTAAATATTTTGCTGTGTGATCCGGAATTCTAATTTAGGAGCACCAGTGCACCTAGAGAAATGTAGGATTCTAGCTTTAATACCTCATATTTGGTATTTCCCTCTCTCTGATAAGGCCAGTCTGCCAGGGCTGACCTGATACAGTCTATGCAATCTTATGAATGAGTTATTAGGTAAATTAAATATATCCTTGAAGGCTCTCTTAACCTAAATTATACATATTCAATCTAACATAGCTAATATCATCTTGAATGGTTTCACCCCCGCAGCTCTCCCTGTCTGCTTTTACGTTTTACTGTGACTTACGTTTTCATGATCTTCAGTGCCATCACTTCCTTCCTCAGCATAGACATTTCCTCCTCCTGCTTCTTCTTCTCCTTGTGCAGAAACTGGATGTAGTCAATGGCTGCAGCAGGAAACACAGAAACAACCAGTAAGGGATTTCTGGACTGAAAGCATTTCTATCAGGGAGGAAAATTCCAGCTTAGGGTGGGATCCTTTCTAAATATTTATAGTATGTTGACATTACAAAGGCTGGTCGGAATGTCAATTTGCACAGTCCTAAAATGTACAACTTTCACATTTCTGGTTGAACAGTACAGTTAAGCAATAAGGCATGAGGAGGTGTGGTATATGGCCTATATACTATGGCTAAGGGCTGTTCTTATGCACGTCACGATGCAACGCAAAGTGCCTGGATACAGCCCTTAGCCGTGGTATATTGGCCATATACCACAAACCCCTGAGGTACCTTATTGCTATTATAAACTGGTTACGAATGTAATTGGGGCGGCAGGTAGCTTAGTGGTTAAGAGCGTTGTGCCAGTAACCGAAAGGTCGCTGGTTCTAATCCCAGAGCAGACTAGGTGAAAAATCTGTTGATGTGCCCTTGAGCAAGGCACTTAACCCTAATTGCTCCTGTAAGTCGCTCTGGATAAGAGCGTCTGCTAAATGACTAATTTATTATTTATTTAATTAGAGCAGTAAAAATACATATTTTGTCATACCCGTGGTATACGGTCTGATAGACCACGGCTGTCAGCCAATCAGAATTCAGGGCTCGAACCACCCAGTTTATAATGGTCTATATAGAACATTGTACTTTTCTGCAGCACTGTGGCCTTGCTGATCTTCTGTGTCCCCACAGCAAACTCAGACTGCTGCTGGCAGGTGGGCACTATGGACTGTAGATCATCATATCCTTTCTGTGGAGTCAAACACACAAGACAAACAGATTTTTGAATTGACAGAAGTATTACATTTGGCCACCTAAGAAACATTAATTTATTGGAAGAGATCAGAGCCACCAACTCCCTCTGTCCAAACACCCCCCACCCTCACTTCCCAATCCTTTTTTTTTTTCTTTCTCCCTTGTCCCTTTTTACAACTACCCTCCTTCCCATGATCTACACTCCTGTTGTTCCACTCCCTATCGGAAGCCAACCTTGATAGCATCCCGTCGTTTCTGCTCGGCCTGTGTGTGTGCCTGTCTCCGCCGGTCTTTGTAGGACTCCTTGTAGGTGGTCTCATGCCTGTAGTCACTGTCTTCATCATCTACAGTGAGGAGAGGAAGAGCAGGTGTTTCAGTCTACCTCCCTAGGGCTCAAGGCTGATGCAATTGAAAAAAAGTATAAGAAAGAATATAGTGGAAGTGAGAGTGGGGTAGGGAGTAAGAGAATGAATTAAAGGGGCACTGCATCAATTATGTTTTTTTAAAAATTAGGACACTAAATAAATATGCAGCAGTCTCACCTACACAAGCCATTTAGTCATACAGTACACACATCAACATCGCCGATAAAAATATTCCCTGACATATGTTGTCTAAACATAAATGAAACACAGTACCTGTATTTGGTACTGATGAGGCACTTGTGGACCCGATGCTGTTAGCCCTGGAGACCACAGTACCCTTCCTTGCATTCTCAGCAAAGAAACCTTAAAGGAGAACATGAAGAAGAGTTCAGACATCATTAAATGACTAATCAACAGTTACCCACAGGACTGGTAGCCTACTAGCTCTAGATTGTACATTTTGGTAAAACAACAGTTAGGCCTAACGATACTACTCACTGTGGTCAAATCCATTGTCACTGAAAGCCCCATCGTTCTGTTCAGCCATGGCAGGTGTTGACAGGAGAGAGAATAAAACAGTGGATAAGGAGGTGAGAACAACAGGCTCTTTCCCGTCTCTCACTCAATGGGCAGATTCGATTATGCTGAGCCACAGGGCACCGGTCTATGGTGACGTGAATGGGCAAAAGCGGTGAGGGAGGAGCTCCCTTCTCAAATCGAACAGTAATCTGTGCTGCTTGGTAATGTCAACAAGGCAGCATGGTGCATCGTCCAGAAACATTCAACATCTCTTTTCCATAAAATAGCCTATATGTTTGCATTTTCAAACTAGTTTTCATTGGGAAGGCAGATAAAGGGTTTTTATCAAAAGCAATCACTTTTGCATGTGGAAACAGAATCCTACTCTACTTTTCAGGCGACTTCTGCCGCGTTCACGTGCTAGTCTGAATTAGGAAACTCAAAAATGTCAGACTTGCTAACTGGTTGTAGTTAGTTCCGCGTTCAACCAGCTAGCAATTCAGACATTTTTGAGTTTCCTAGTTCCGACTAGCACGTGAACGCAGCAGAAGTCGGCTGAAAAGTAGAGTAGGATTCTGGACTTCGCCGTGGACTTCGCACAGGGCACCGGTTCCAAAACGAATTCAATCAACTTTCACTTTAATCTAATCCCCTCAGACAAACACAGCAATATGCATCAACAACATCCACTGACAGTCCTGTGGTGTAATCATGTGTCCAAACAGTTTAAGTTCTGCAACTAAAACAAGAGTTTCTATTGGTCGAATACAGGTAGGTTCCTCCCCGTTTCGTTTGCTTCCATTTAAGAAACGTTTTGCAACAGAATCGGTGGAATGAATACACCACTGATTTGATTCAAGTAGGCAGAATTGTCAGAGAAATCCTCTTTTTTGTTTAAATCTTGGACACTTCAGTTAAGTGGCGCAGTCGTCTAAGTGGCACAGTTCCACTAGAGATCCTGGTTCGAATCCAGTCTCTGTCGCAGCCGGCCGCGACCGGGAGACTCATGGGTGGCGCACAATTGGCCCAGCGTCGTCCAGGGTAGGGGAGGGAATGGCCGGCAGGGATGTAGCTCAGTTGATAGAGCATGGCGTTTGCAACGCCAGGGTTGTGGGTTCGATTCCCACGGGGGGCCAGTATAAAAAAAAAAATGTATTCACTAACTGTAAGTCGCTCTGGATAAGAGCGTCTGCTAAATGACTAAAATGTAAATGTAAAAATGTTAAGTGCAACCTGAGTTCCCACCAGATAATAACCTGATCCTTTTGTGGCTAACTTGCTTGTAGCTAAACATTAAATGACCTGGTTACTAGGTGGCAGTGGTGGAAAAAAGTACTCAACTATCATACTTGGGTAAAAGTAAAGATACCTTAATAGAAAATGACTCAAGTAAAAGTCACCCAGTAAAATACTACAAGTATTTGGTTTTAAATGCACTTAAGTATCAAAAGAAAATGTAATTGCTAAATTATACTTAAGCATAAAAAGTATAAATCATTTAAAATTCCTTATATTAAGCAAACTAGACTGCACCATTTTATTTTTTATTTACTGATAGCCAGGGGCAAACTCCAACACTCAGACATCTTTACAAATGAAGCATGTGTGTTTAGTGAGTCCGCCAGATCAGAGGCAGTAGGGATAACCAGGAATGTTCTCTTGATAAGCGTGTGAATTTGACAATTTTTCTGTTCTGCTAAGCATAAAAATGTAATGAGTACTTTTGGGTGTCAGGGAAAATGTATGGCGTAAAAAGTACATTATTTTCTTTAGTAATGTAGTGAAGTAAAAGTAGTCAAAAATATAAATAGTAAAGTAAAGTACAGATACCCAAAAAAACTACTTTAGTAGTAATTTAAAGTATTTTTTACTTAAGTACTTCACACTACTGCTAGGTGCCAGCTAGTTACGAGTGTTGGTGGAACCATAAGGAGAGGAAGTACAAACCAACGACGCTAGGCAGATTGCATAGGAACAGCATTGATTGAAAACAAGCTCCTAACATTAAAATGGGTCATATTTACTACGACACGAGTAACCCCGACGTTCCTATGCGGTCAGTACAGACAAGGCTGAAGTATGGCAAGTATTTTTGGCAAACCCATGTAAACACATGCATGACCTCGGCAAACAAGCGTTGCGTACATGTACATCGTGACGCATGCTTCATCATGTGATAGAAATCTGAACACACGTTTTGTAAAGTTGATTTATTAATACCTACCTGTGGCTATATAATGAGTGTACCATTTCCAAAATTAAACACTGGGTTCTCCCAGACGGTGAATTTGCAAATCACCCGTCTGGTCCACTAGGACTAGGCTACAAGTTGGCCAGCAGTTGGCCATCACAGAACCGTAAAGAAAGGAGAAGAAGCTTGAAAAGATTCATAAACAAAAGCGCTAGTACCTAGCTAGCTAGCCGTTAGCTAGCTAACATAAGCCAAATGTAGCAAATTAACTCCAAATTACAAAGACTGTATTCTTGCTACGAATATGTGGCAGTGTCATACAACGCTTATTTGTCCTCACGTCTCATATATTTGTCTAAACTAGCTAGCTTACTTTGATCCAGTGATCCTCCGGCGATGTTGTAGGATCCGTCATCTTGGAATCAACAGCTGTTCGAGAGCATCATGGGTGTGGGAAAACAATTTGCAGAAAGGGAACTACGCCCTCTGCTGGTTCACACAGTATGACATCTGGCCTCAAATAAGTGCAAGTAAGTGAGCATGTTTGGGCCGTATGGATCTATTGCTGCGTTCAAAACAAATGGGAACTCGGTTAAATCATGACGTCAGTGATCTTCAGGTCGGAAAGTCGGAGTTCTAGAAAGAGGCTCGAGTTCCCAAGTTGGAATTCCGATGTGGATGACCGTTCAAATCGATTTTTCCCAGTCGGAGGTCGTTTTTTTTCTCCCGAGTTCGCAGTTGTTTTGAACGCATTCAAGTCGGAAGTCGGAGATTTCCGAGTTCCCAGCTGTTTTGAACGCGGCATATGGCTGCGTTTACACAGGCATCCCAATTATGATATTGCTTTCACTAATTGGACCAATCAGATCAGCTCTGAAAAATATCTGATGTGATGAAGATCTGATGTGATGTGATGTGATTGGCCAAAAGATCAGAATTTGGCTGCCTGTCTAAACGCAGTCATGGGCTCCTCATATCTGGAAGTAGGCCTGCTGCTGATGCTTTAAAAACATTAATGCTCTGGGACATTAATCAATTAAAAAAAGTCTGGTAGAAAATTGTGTACAAATGTCTACTAAGACCCTTTTGATGTTCTGATTGTCAACAATTTATTCACCACCACATGGAAACAACGCTGGGCAATTTTGCCTTGACTTCACTAGGGGTAGCAATGTGCATATCTGACACAGGGTAGCGCTCTTGGAGTGTTCTTTGAGGGTACACTGGGTAAAACGCAACTGCACTCACACTTCCACAAGCTATGTTCTGGTAGTGGTTTCCTAACAATGGAAAGTCAAGAAAGTTATGATAAAAACACCTTAATCCACCCTCTACCATTTGGCATGCACCCACCATCCACGAGGCCAGATACGTGTAGTTACTTCATAGCTCATATGAGTCTTCGTAACTTATATGACTATAGGCCCAATACACCTACGTAGTCTTCCTTTATCCCTTCTTTTTTCCACCACCTTTACTCTCTTGTCTATCTTCTCCAACAATCACTTTCCTCCCTCTCTGCTTCTTCCTCAGTCTCCTCTCTCCACCCTACTCTACTTTACTCCACCCCCTTGTAGTTGTGTTTCTCTCACACACAGCAGGAAGTTACTCTTCTGCTTTTTCTGGTTATGCGGTTTCTGCCTTTGCTGCAACGACTGTGTCAAACTCCCCTCTCCTTCCTGTAACACCCATGCCCTGCGTGTCTGTGCTGAGCTCACTGTAGGAACTTTGAGCAGTTAATAGTAAAAACAACATCTTACTTCAACAGGCGCCACTTTTCAGGTTTAAAGTTTGTCCGATTTTTTCCCAGTAACACCTGTTATCCAGCAGAGAGTGAGGAGAGTGGAAGAGATACAGGATGAGGAGGAAAGATGTTGCTCCATCAAACATCCTCATCTCAGGACCAAGACAATTGCAGTAGGCCAGTGGCTGTTCGATCCACCTGCCTAATCTCACAGAGACGTTGAAGTGCCAAGGACTCAAAGACCTGTTTTTATTTGCGTTCTCTTTTTTAAAAAAAAAACCTAATTGGACTGCCTGCCCTACACTGGAAGTAACTAGCTACTTTTTTTCAGTGTGCGCAGACATCGGAGTTGGAGTTTCAATCTGTTTTGAAATTAGGCCTACTAGCACTAACAGTTCAAAGAGAGTGTTTTTTTAACCTTTCCCCTGGATTACCTGTTGACGTTTGTGATGGGGAATGCGGCAGGGGGAATAGAGCAGGCAGATGGCCGGGAGGCCAAGCACTCTGTGGGGTCAGGAACGGGCCTGAGTGACCCCACCCCGACCCTGCAGAAGAAGCATTCTGCTCCCCCCAAGCTGCCCGTGCCCTCAGAGGAGGAGCTGGAGGAGCGCTTCAGTGTGGTTCTGGTGAGTGGCAGGACAGGAGGGGAGACACACATCATGCATATCAACACACAGAAATACAGGCACATCACACAGGAATTTAGTTGCATCACACACCTACTGTATTGCACTGATATCTAAAGTAGCAGGTAAAATCCCTCACTTAAATATGCTGGGTGCCAAATGTCTGAGAGAAAATACATTCAGTTTTACATTTGAATTCTGTCAAGGTAATTCTGGTTCCTGTTAAAAAACAATGCCGTCTCTCTCACTGCAGCCAGTCATGTTAGTAAAGAGAGCTGACATTTTGTTGGCCTCAATCCCATCCAAAAGCTCACATCCTCTTTTAGATATTTTGAAATGGGCCTCTCTGCTCAGCCTGTGTTCAAATGATGTCATAGACTGCAGTCTGCACTCTTAGAGGAACTGGAGACACCATGAAGGCAAGGTGCTGGATTGAGCAATAGATTTAGCATGAAAGAGACCACAAGACTAAGACAGGAAGGCAAATGTTTCTCAAATATTTCAACATGTCATTTCCCATCAGTTAACACCTATGGAGGACAACATAATGCTATCAATCCAATACTAGAATAATATAATTATAAATGTCACCTTGTCCTAGAGAGATTTACATGGTTATCAAAATGTCATGCCAGGGTAAGCTTATACGAAACACAGCCCTTATTTTCAGTGTTTATAAAATCCCCTATGGGAAAAATGAATGGTGGAAAACAATTGGAACCATTTCCTTGTTTGACTGATAGGTTTTATGGGTATTATGACTCATACTGTGGTACCCATATAGGGTCTCTAAATTGAGAAATGTTCCAGAAATGTTCCAGAAATGTAAACTCAGTCGTTTACATTTTCCAGTGATGAAGACATGGATGTCTCATGGTAGGGTGAGGATATAAAAAATGGGCAAACTTTGAGCACCTCTATCTCCTAAAGGTTTTGTCATTCAGGTCCAAAGAAATCACTTTCTGTCCACTTCTACCATAGGAAAATTTGTATGGGACGTTTAGTTCATATCAAAAGGGGTGAGGTCAAAACGTTTTTGAAATCAAATGGAACGACCCATACCCCAAAATGTAGGTGTGTGCGTGTGTGTGTGCATGCTTGCGTGTGTGTGTGTGTGCATACTTGCGTGTGTGTGTGCGCGCGTGCATTCATGTGTACAACCCATGTGCACATAAGAGTATACAGTGCCTTCGGAAAGTATTCAGACCCCTTGACCTTTTCCACATTTTGTTATGTCACAGCCTTATTCTAAAATTGATTAAATTGTTTTTTTCCCCCTCATTAATCTACACACAATACCCCATAATGACAAAGCAAAAACAGGTTTTTAGAAATGTTGCTAATTGATTAAAAATCAAAAAATTAAATATCACATTTACATAAGTATTCAGACCCTTTACTCAGTACTTTGTTGAAGCACCTTTGGCAGCGATTACAGCATCGAGTCTTCTTGGGTATGACGCTTCAAGCTTGGCACACCTGTATTTGGGAAGTTTCTCCCATTCTTCTCTGCAGATCCTCTCAAGCTCTGTCAGGTTGGATGGGGAGCGTCGCTGCACAGCTATTTTCAGGTCTTTCCAGAGATGTTCGATCAGGTTCAAGTCCATGCTTCACCGTATTGATGGTGCCAGGTTTCCTCCAGACGTGACGCTTGGCATTCAGGCCAAAGAGTTCAATCTTGGTTTCATCAGATCAGAGAATCTTGTTTCTCATGGTCTGAGAGTCTTTAGGTGCCTTTTGGCAAACTCCAAGTGGGCTGTCATGTGCCTTTTACTGAGGTGTGGCTTCTGACTGGCCACTCTACCATAAAGGCCTACTTGGTGGAGTGCTGCAGAGATGGTTGTCTTTCTGGAAGGTTCTCCCATCTCCACAGAGGAACTCTAAAGCTCTGTCAGAGTGACCATCGGGTTCTTGGTCACCTCCCTGACCAAGGCCCTTCTCCCCCGATTGCTCAGTTTGGCCAGGCGGCCAGCACTAGGAAGAGTTTTGGTGGTTCCAAACTTCTTCCATTTAAGAATGATGGAGGCCACTGTGTTCTTGGGGACCTTCAATGCTGCAGACATTTTTTGGTACCCTTCCCCATATCTGTTCCCCGACACAATCATGTCCCGGAGCTCTACGGACAATTCCTTCGACCTCATGGCTTGTTTTTTTTATTTTCTTTAACATGCACTGTCAACTGTGGGACCTTATATAGACAGGTGTGTGCCTTTCCAAATCATGTCCAATCAATTGAATTTAACACAGGTAGACTCCAATCAAGTTGTAGAAACATCTCAAGGATGATCAATGGAAACAGGATGCGCCTGAGCTCAATTTCGAGTCTCATAGCAAAGGGTCTGAATACTTATGTAAATAAGGTATTTATGTTTTATATTTGTAATACATTTGCAAAAATTATGGGGTATTGCTGAGGATTATTTAAAAACAAAGTGTGGAGAAAATCAAGGTGTCACGCCCTGACTCTGGGGACTCGTATATGTTGAGTCAGGGTGTGTATGTTCTATGTGGTGTATTTCTATGTTGGGTTTCTATTATGTGTAGATCTATGTTGGCCGGTGTGGTTCCCAATCAGAGGCAGCTGTAGCTCGTTGTCTCTGATTGGGGACCATACTTAGGCAGCCTATTGGCACTAGTGGGTTGTGGGATCTTGTTCCAGTTAAGGTATGTTGTGTTGTGCTGCCTTGGACTTCACGTTTCGTTTTGTTGTTTTGTCGGTTGTTTATTCCTTTAAATAAACATGTATGCATATCACGCTGCGCCTTGGTCTGACCCGTTCATGAACGAACGTGACAGAAGATCCCAACAAACGAGGACCAAGCAGCGTGTTAAGGAGCAAACGCCGGGAAGTCAACGGGAGGTTACATTAGTAGATGTCCTCCTCGGTTTGGGGAGAATTACAGAGGAGGAGGCCGTCCGTTACCGGAAGGCGACGAAGGTAGATACCCAGGCAGGAGAGGTGCAACGGCAACGCAGAGGACGCCGGTCGAGGAGGAAGCCCGAGAGACAGCCCCAATATTTTATTTTGGGGGGGGCTAAAGGGGTGGTCGGGGAGCGAGAGAGAGGAGCCCCGACCACTGCACCCGGTCGGTTTTCAGATTGGGTCCCTACGACCATGGGAAGAGGAGTGGGAACAGTATTATACTGAGGAGTCGGAGGATGACGACGACGACGAGGTTCTGTTCCCTAACTCGTGGGGGCACCCGGAGGAGTCCTCACGGGAAGAAGAGTGCCCACGACAGAGACCAGAGAGGCAACCCCAAGAACATTTTGGGGGGGGCACACGTTGTGGACGACAAGGCAGCAGGAGGCCGTTAAAGGGCGGGTCTGCAGGTTAGGAGAGGAGGCCACTCCTACAGGAGGCTATAAGGGAGAAGGAAAGTGTAGAGGCACGGCGAGAGGAGCTGGTTAGGCAGCAGAAGGAGCGGGGGTTAATAAAGGAACCCAGTTCAGCTCCTTGCACCAAGCAAGTGGTGCGTGTCGCCAGTCCGGTCCGGCCCGTTCCTGCTTCCTGCACTAAGCCAGTGGTGCGTGTTCCCAGTACGGCCCGACCCGTTCCTGCCCCTCGCACCAAGACAGTGGTGCGCGTCGCCAGCCCGGTCCGGCCTGTTCCTGCTCCTCGCACCAAGCCAGTGGCTCTGGGGACTCGTATATGTTGAGTCAGGGTGTGTATGTTCTATGTGGTGTATTTCTATGTTGGGTTTCTATTATGTGTAGGTCTATGTTGGCCGGTGTGGTTCCCAATCAGAGGCAGCTGTAGCTCGTTGTCTCTGATTGGGGACCATACTTAGGCAGCCTATTGGCACTAGTGGGTTGTGGGATCTTGTTCCAGTTAAGGTATGTTGTGTTGTGCTGCCTTGGACTTCACGTTTCGTTTTGTTGTTTTGTCGGTTGTTTATTCCTTTAAATAAACATGTATGCATATCACGCTGCGCCTTGCTCTGACCCGTTCATGAACGAACGTGACACAAGGGGTCTGAGTACTTTCCGAAGGCACTGTATGTCTTTCTGAGTGTGTATGTGGGTAATATGTGTGTATGAGTAACCTCATGTCTGTATGTACAGCGTGTGGTCCTCTGTAGCTCAATTGGTAGAGCATGGCGCTTGTAACGCCAGGGTAATGGGTTCGATCCCCGGGACCACCCATATGTAAAAATTTATGCACACATGACTGTAAGTCGCTTTGGATAAAAGCGTCTGCTAAATGGCATGTTATATTATTATTTATATTCACATACATATTGTGTACATTTAGTTTTTTGTTGCTAGTCTTTGTCCCTCAAAATCCACCATCGGTCTCTCCCATACTGTACCCCACCCAAACACTATAGCTATGTCCCCAGCAAAGCCACACTTACTGGGGCACACGTCATCCTCAGAGGTTTGTTAACGTGTATAGAGGAAACCACAAACTATTGTTTGAGAACATTCAATTCCGTATATCTAACCACAGTCCATCCACACCCTTCTTAGTAGGCCCAAGACTGCCTCGACTAAAACATCACTCATCTAAAATGCCTTAAATAACTTTCATTAGCTGTTAGTTTGGCTGACAACATCTATGGTGTTATTATGTGTGGCGTGTCACATGAGAATGATGCTTACTAAAATATTGTATTTCACCATGTTAATCAATAGACATGACAGAGTTGAATCAGCTTCTTGTGATATACAGTACCAGTCAAAAGTTTGGACACACCTACTCATTTCAGGGTTGTTCTTTTATATTTACTATTTTCTACGTTGTAGAATAATAGTGAAGACATCAAAACTATGAAATAACACATATGGAATCATGTAGTAATCAAAAAAGTGTTAAACAAATCAAAATATATTTTATATTTTAGATTCTTCAAAGCAGTCTCCCTTTGCCTTGATGACAGCTTTGCACACTCTTGGCATTCTCTCAACCAGCTTCATGAGGTAGTCACCTTCTTAATGCGTTTGAGCCAATCAGTTGTGTTGTGACAAGGTAGGGGTAGTATACAGAAGATAGCCCTATTAGGTAAAGAAATTCCACAAATTAACTTTTAACAAGGCACACCTGTTAATTGAAATGCATTCCAGGTGACTACCTCATGAAGCTGGTTGAGAGAATGCCAAGAGTGTGCAAAGCTGTCATCAAGGCAAAGGGTGGCTACTTTGAAGAATCTCAAATATATTTTGATTTGTTTAACACTTTTTTGGTTACTACATGATTCCATATGTGTTATTTCATAGTTTTGATGTCTTAACTATTATTCTACAATGTAGAAAATAGTAAAAATAAAGAAAAACCTTTGAATGAGTAGGTGTGCCCAAACTTTTGACTGGTACTGTATACACACACCATATTTTCTTGTAGAAGGGCCACGTGGCTCACCTGTCATAGAGACGAATATCTATTGAATCAATCAGGTTAAATCCACTTGAATGTAACAGCAACTCACTCAAACAGGCCATGACTAAAGGACTACTGTATAGGCAAGCTATGCTCAATGATGAATGGAGGAGCATTATCTGTATGTGTTAGAAAATGCTCATGACTAGACCTGATACATGCTCATAGATGGTTTCCATTAGTTACCAACAATACATGTAAACAGTGAGTCATCTCTGTGGTGTAGGATGATGATAGCATTCACTGATAACTCTGGTGGGGACATCTGTGGTTTCTGATCACATTTGAACAGCATGGCACGAACAGGAAGCGTTATGACAATGTGCACAAGAGTGTTGGCTGGTTGGTAGTGAAGAAAGAAATGAAAAAAATATTTTATTTAAGATTATATTATTATGCAGGCACTGCTTAATTTAAGTCTATTGAGTAACATGTCGTTGTAGACCGGTCAGAGTTAATTTAAATACAAGATCCCCAAAGACCCCAGTTGTAATCACAATAACAGTTTAAAGTCATTATTGATGTAGGTTTTTGAAGTGCATCTTATTCTATTCTCAGAGCTATATGAACCTGCCTCCAGACAAGCTGAAGCTGTTGAGTCAGTACGACAATGACAAGAAGTGGGAGCTGATCTGTGATCAGGTAAGAACATTACATCTTGTTGGGCGCCTTATATGGGGTGATTGGTTCATGCATTAGTATATACACAGTTCTACATGATTGGGTAACGCTTTATTTCAGCGGTCCATAATAAACAATTTATTAATCATTACTCCCACATTTATGAATAATCATAAGTAAAGTATTTTTGCAGTCCCTAATCTAAAGCAAGCACTATTTAACCATAACCATAACCCTTACCTAACCTAACCTAACCTAACCTAACCATAACCATAACCATAAATGGTGTGTCATATTTTAGTAAATACCTAATAAATGGTTTGTTACGGATCGTTAAAATAAAGTGTAACCCATGATTGTATCTGAGAGGAAGTGTTATAAAAACACAGCATACGGAAATAACTGTGAAGAAAAATAAATATGTATTGCTGGTGTCCAGTTGCCAATATGTAATGTAGGTCAGAGTGCAAAAGGTCATATAGTCTGTTTCTACCACAACACTAAAACTCTGATGGGTTCCTGTGGTAAGCACGTTTGCCCTCAGCAGGTTGGCATGGTAACAAAGTGGTTTACGGTGCTTGTTGTGTTTGACTGTGTTATTTTTCCTCTCACTCACCCTCCTCCCCTCATCCCCTTCTCCTTCCTCCCTCCGTTCTGTGTGGTCAGGAGCGGTTCCAGGTGAAGAACCCCCCCTCTACCTATCTGACCAAGATCAAGAGCTTCTACCAGGACCAAGGAGGAGTGACCCGCAGGGTGGGTGTACAGTACCTCCCTTCCCGCTCACGTTCATAGAGCTTCTAGTCATTCTCACCGTAGCCAGGGATTTCAAGAACTAAATATGCGTGTTTTGGAACAATGGGATAACAATATTACATCTACAGTAGTAGTACATCCTTGCATTTTATGACAAAGCCACTAAGCGAGTAATATAAGGCCAGTCTCATTAGCATAACTACTGAACTACGGATATAAAGGTTTGTGAGTTTCCTTAATTCATAGAGCTTCTCTGTATGGTTTTGGCCTATTTCAGTTCAAGAGGCAGGTCCAGGAGTCCACCCAGGTACTGAGAGAGCTGGAGATCTCCCTCCGCACCAATCATATTGGGTGAGTGACTGGACCAGGATTAGCCTCTGCCGAGTCCCGAACGACCGGAAGTTCTGGTTTTCTGGGGAAATGGAAAGAGAGCCTGTGACGCGACTTCCGCTTTTGGACGTTAACAAGGCGACTCTCCATCTTAACTACTCCTCCACATTTACTGGATTGGTTGAACAATGCAGAAGAGAACCTCCCCCGACAGTTTTTTTTCTTCTTCTCGTCAAGACCAGTATGTACGGGATCTAGTTTCAGGCGTTTCTTTTACGCCTGCTATGTTAGGTTTGACCAGGACTGGTCCAGCAGGTATCCCATTAGTCAGTACGACTGACTCAACTGTCCTTAAAGTAGTATTGGGTTCTAATTCTCTTTCTCTCTATATAGCTGGGCCCAGGAGTTTCTGAATGAGGAGAACCAGGGTTTGGATGTATTAGTGGACTACCTGTCCTATGCCCAGTGTGACGCTTCGTGAGTATCCCTTGCAGCCTCCCATTCAGTCTTAACAGAATCCCATACTGTATCAATGAGACATAGATTAATGCTTGATTATCTACAGTGATGGAAAAAAGTATTTGATCCCCTGCTGATTTTGTAAGTTTGCCCACTGACAAAAAATGATCAGTCTATAATTTTAATGGTAGGTTTATTTGAACAGTGAGAGACAGAATAACAACAAAAAAATCCAGAAAAACGCATCTAAAAAATGTTATAAATTGATTTGCATTTTAATGAGGGAAATAAGTATTTGACCCCCTCTCAATCAGAAAGATTTCTGGCTCCCAGGTGTTGTTTATACAGGTAACGAGCTGAGATTAGGAGCACACTCTTAAAGGGAGTGCTCCTAATCTCAGCTTGTTACCTGTATAAAAGACACCTGTCCACAGAAGCAATCAATCAATCAGATTCCAAACTCTCCACCATGGCCAAGACCAAAGAGCTCTCCAAGGATGTCAGGGACAAGATTGTAGACCTACACAAGGCTGGAATGGGCTACAAGACCATCGCCAAGCAGCTTGGTGAGAAGGTGACAACAGTTGGTGCGATTATTCGCAAATGGAAGAAACACAAAATAACTGTCAATCTCCCTCAGCCTGGGGCTCCATGCAAGATCTCACCACGTGGAGTTGCAATGATCATGAGAACGGTGAGGAATCAGCCCAGAACTACACGGGAGGATATTGTCAATGATCTCTAGGCAGCTGGGACCATAGTCACCAAGAAAACAATTGGTAACACACTACGCCGTGAAGGACTGAAATCCTGCAGCGCCCGCAAGGTCCCCCTGCTCAAGAAAACACATATACATGCCCGTCAGAAGTTTGCCAATGAACATCTGAATGATTCAGAGGAGAACTGGGTGAAAGTGTTGTGGTCAGATGAGATCAAAATGGAGCTCTTTGGCATCAACTCAATTCGCCGTGTTTGGAGGAGGAGGAATGCTGCCTATGACCCCAAGAACACCATCCCCACCGTCAAACATGGAGGTGGAACATTATGCTTTGGGGGTGTTTTTCTGCTAAGGGCCATGTACCGTCAAATCTTGGGTGAGAATCTCCTTCTCTCAGCCAGGGCATTGAAAATGGGTCGTGGGTGGGTATTCCAGCATGACAATGACCCAAAACACACGGCCAAGGCAACAAAGGAGTGGCTCAAGAAGAAGCACATTAAGGTCCTGGAGTGGCCTAGCCAGTCTCCAGACCTTAATCCCATAGACAATCTGTGGAGGGAGCTGAAGGTTTGAGTTGCCAAATGTCAGCCTCGAAACCTTAATGACTTGGAGAAGATCTGCAAAGAGGAGTGGGACAAAATCCCTCCTGAGATGTGTGCAAACCTGGTGGCCAACTACAAGAAACGTCTGACCTCTGTGATTGCCAACAAGGGTTTTGCCACCAGGTACTAAGTCATGTTTTGCAGAGGGGTCAAATACTTATTTCCCTCATTAAAATGCAAATCAATTTATAACATTTTTTACATGCGTTTTTCTGGATTTTGTTGTTGTTATTCTGTCTCTCACTGTTCAAATAAACCTACCATTAAAATTATAGACTGATAATTTTTTGTCAGTGGGCAAATGTACAAAATGAGCAGGGGATCAAATACCTTTTTCCCTCACTGTATATGTGACTATATGTTTGTGTATTTGGGAATGTATCAATAGGTTTGACAGGGAGGGTGCTGAGAATGGGGGAACACTGTCAGAGAGAGGGAAGCCAGCGGAGAGGTCCATGGAGGACCTGAATAAGAGTGCAGGAAGCCCCCCTACACATGGCATGACCAGAGCAGCCCGCGCCCTAACCGTACGGTAAGAACCATCAGCCGTAATGAGACCCGAGTCTCACCCAAAATATTCTACTGCAAAGTGACCACCATCTCTTCCATCCTCTCAATATCTTCTTTGCAGGATAACCTCTCTGGCACAGAGTAGGAGAACTCAGAAGAGCTCTAGATTGACCAGTCATAGGGACGACGTCCATGTGTGCATCATGTGTCTGCGTGCCATCATGAACTACCAGGTGTGTGTTTGTGTGTGTGTTGTGCGGTGTGTGTGCATGACCGTGATATGGAGTTTGAAATAGTGAAATTACAGAGCTGATTATCACTTTTTCAGTCGGGCTTCAACCAAGTGATGACACACCCACGCTGTGTCAACGAGATCACTCTCAGTCTCAACAACAGGAACCCCAGGTATGAACACCTGTGTGTGTGTGTGCATGTGTGTGTGCATGCTTGTGCATGTGTGTGTGTGTGATGTGATATGATATTCCTGGTCTCTACAGAACCAAAGCCCTGGTGTTGGAGCTGTTGGCTGCTGTGTGTCTTGTGAGGGGCGGTCATGACATCATTCTCGCTGCCTTCGACAACTTCAAGGAGGTGAAGGGATTTACCAAACTTAGACACACTAGAACAGACTTTACTTGACCAATATGTACTGTATGTCATCTGTGATGTGGATGACAGATGTGGACATCTGTTGAAGTGCATGACCGTGTTACTGAAACAAGGAACGTCTGTCCCATGTCTTTTCACTCAGGTGAGCGGAGAGAAGAACCGCTTTGAGAAACTGATGGAGTACTTTAGCAACGATGACAGCAACATTGACTTCATGGTACGTGGACACAAAACGGTTTTAAATCTACTGGCTGATGTGTTGACATTGCTCACAATGTAGTTCTGAAAGGTTAAAGATCAAATATGATGATCCCTCTCTTCAGGTGGCCTGTATGCAGTTCATTAACATTGTGGTGCATTCGGTGGAGAATATGAACTTCCGTGTTCACCTGCAATATGAGTTCACTCACCATGGACTGGACCAGTACTTAGAGGTAAGCTCTCATCTCATTGTGGAAAATCAAACAGTCACAACCACAAAACCAACTCCTTAAAACTGAAATGAAACCGCCATGATAAAGATGATAATTTGTGTGTGTGTGTGTGTCAGACTCTGAAGCTGACAGAGAGTGAGAAGCTGCAGGTTCAGATTCAGGCCTACTTGGACAACGTGTTTGATGTGGGGGCTCTGCTGGAGGATGCAGAGAACAGGGGTGGGGTGCTGGACCATGTGGAAGAACTGCAGGAGCATAACACACAGGTCAGTGAAACATACTGTACACACACAGTCTGATTCATTCAAATCACACATCTAAACAATGTCAGCAATTATTCTATGACTCGGTCTGTGACCTCCAAATGATGTGTTGTGTCGTGTTGTGTCATGTGTTGTGTTGTGTCATGTGTTGTGTTGTGTCATGTTGTGTCGTGTTGTGTCATGTGTTGTGCTGTGTCGTGTTGTGTTGTGTTCTGTCATGTTGTGTTGTGTTGTGCTGTGTTGTGTCATGTTGTATTGTGTCGTGTTGTCGTGTTGTGTTGTGTTTTTGTAGCTGAGTGCCAGGCTAGAGGAGATTGAGAGCCAGTCTGCAGAGAGGATGGCTGAACTAGAGAAACAGCTCCTCCAAGCCACCAAGGAGACAGAGCTGCTCAAGGTCTGCACTGTACAGTTAACTGAGGATTGTTTACAATATAGTGTATCAGACAGAAAGGTATGTGTGTGATTGTGTGATGATAACTTTTCCTTGCCTTTGTGTGTGCGGCTGACAGGGGAACCTGCGGGACTCCTGTTCCCAGGTCAGTTCTCTGCAGCAGAGAGAGAGGGAGAGGGAGATAAGCCAGGAGAGGGAGCGGGACAGAGAGCGTCTAAGCCAACCCTCCTCTGAGCTGGAACTCAAGGTGCAGGAGCTGCAGGACCGAGGGCTGATCCGCCTGGGACGCACCCCCTCTGGGGCCCTAGACCTCCAGGTGGTGCCTGTCACCATCATCGAGTACGTCCCCGCCCCAGCCTCTGAGCCCATGCTCAGCTCCACTGGACCTACTGGCCCAGACGTCCCTGATGCCACTCCCTCCTCAGCCATCTCTGCTGTCCCCCTCCTCCTCCTCCTCCTCCCCCACCCCCTCCACCTTCTGGGCCTGTTGGACCTATTCCCCCACCCCCTCCACCTCCTCCTCCTCCCCCGCCTGGCTCTGGTGGCCCACCTCCCCCTCCTCCTCCCCCCAGGGGAGGTCCACCCCCACCTCCTCCTCCACCTGGCGCTGGACCCCCGCCCCCACCCGGAGGCCCACCTTCTGGAGACAGCCAAGCCGGTAAGGTGACTCTTATCTGCTTTCATTAGAGATATACAGATAGAGTGGCTTGCGAAAGTATTCACCCCCCTTGGCATTTTTCCTATTTTGTTGCCTTACAACCTGGAATTAACCTAGGTTTGTATCATTTGATTTACACAACATACCTACTACCACTTTGAAGATGCAAAATATTTTTTATTGTGAAACAAACAAGAAATAAGACAAAAAAAACTGAAAACTTGAGCATGCATAACTATTCACCCCCTCTGGGCTTTGACTAGGCCATTCCAAGACATTTAAATCTTTCCCCTTAAACCACTTGAGTGTTGCTTTAGCAGTATGCTTAGGATCATTGTCCTGCTGGAAGGTGAACCTCCGTCCCAGTCTCAAATCTCTGGAAGACTGAAACAGGTTTCCCTCAAGAATTTCCCTGTATTTCGCGGCATCCATCATTCCTTCAATTCTGACCAGTTTCCCAGTCCCTGCCGATGAAAAACATCCCCACAGCATGATGCTGCCACCACCATGCTTCACTGTGGGAATGGTGTTCTCGGGGTGATGAGAGGTGTTGGGTTTGCGCCAGACATAGAGTTTTCCTCGATGGCCAAAAAGGGGTGAAAACATATGCACGCACCACTTTTCCGTTATTTCTTTTTTTAGAATTTTTTGAAACAAGTTATTTTTTTCATTTCACTTCACCAATTTGGACTATTTTGTGTATGTCCATTACATGAAATCCATTTAAATTACAGGTTGTAATGCAACAAAATAGGAAAAACGCCAAGGGGGTAACTGCCAAAATAAAGGAAACACCAACATAAAGTGTCTTAATGGGGCGGTGGGCCACCACGAGCCAGAACCGCTTCAATGCACTTTGGCATAAATTCTAGAAGTGTCTAGAACTCCATTGGAGGGATGTGAAACCATTCTTCCATGAGAAATTCCATCATTTTGTGTTTTGTTGATGGTGGTGGAAAACGCTGTTTTAGGAACCACTCCAGAATCTCCCTTAAGTGTTCAATTGGTTTGAGATCTGGTTAACTGAGAAGTCATGGCATATGATTTACATTGTTGTCATGCTCATCAAACCATTCAGTGACCATGCGTGCCCTGTGGGTAGGGGCATTGTCATCCTATGGGGGCATAGCTATGGTAGCCAACATAGTGGCCTGCCCAGCATTTTTATACATGACCCTAAGCATAATAGGAAGTTAATTCACTCAGGAACCACACCTGTGTGGAAGCACCTGCTTTCAATATACTTTGTAGCCCTCATTTACTTAAGTGTTTCCATAATTCTGGCAGTTATCAGTGGAGGCTGCTGAGGGGTGGACGGCTCATAATAATTGCTGGAACAGAGCGAATGGAATGGCATCAAACACCTGGAAAACCATGTATTTGATACCATTCCACCTATTCCTCTCCAGCCATTACCAAGAGCCTGTCCTCCCCAATTAAGGTGCCACCAACCTCCGGTGTTATATGTATATATATATATATATATATATATATATATATATTAATGGTAGGTAGCGGTCTACAGCAGATATTAGAAGATGAGAGAGGAAACCATTCATCTAGAGGAGAGATTAAGAGATTAGGGTATGAGAAGTCAAATAGGAGAGAGCTCCATGCTAATCAGATTGTCAATCAATCTCATGAATCTGTATGCGTCCAATTTGCTGAAGGGTGAAATGAGTGCATTGGCGATTGACAAATGTGATTGATTCTCTCTCCTACTCTCTCTTTCTCTTTCTCTCTCTCTTTCTCTTAGGAGGTAAAAGCAGGAAGCCCATCCAGACTAAGTTCCGGATGCCTTTGCTCAACTGGCAGGCACTGAAGCCCAACCAGGTGACTGGCACGGTCTTCAACGAGCTGGACGATGAGCAGGTCTTAGGGGTAAGACCAAACCTCCACACTGATACTGGTGCTGACTGTGCTCTACTCTTCCATTCTCCCTTCTCTCACCTTCCCTCTGACCCTCTTTCTACTCCTCTCTCTCCCCCTGTCTCTCTCTCCCCTCCTTACCCTCCCTCTTCCTCCCTCTCTAACCATCTCTATGTGTGTTGTGTCAGGAGCTGAACATGGAGGCGTTTGAGGAGCAGTTTAAGACCAAGGCCCAGGGTCCTCCAGCAGCTCTGTCCACTCTGAAGGTCAAGGTGGCCCAGAAGGCCCCCAGCAAGGTCAACCTGATCGAGGGCAACAAGGCCAAGAACCTGGCCATCACGCTACGCAAGGGAGGCAGGAGCCCCGCAGACATCTGCACAGCTATAGAGACGTATGGAACTCTATCTTCTACTATTCTGTGCCTTTCCTTAGTAAACATCTTTCTCACACATTTCATTTATTTTTTGTTCTAGTTAATCCCTTCATTCTCTTTCTCCTCATCCCACCTTCCCCTAACACTCTTCTTTTGTCCATTCCTTATTATCTTTCTTCTCTCTCTCCCTCCCTCCTTCTCTCCCTCCTTCTCTCCAGGTATGACCAGCAGTCGTTGGGGCTGGACTTCCTGGAGCTGCTGGAGAGGTTTGTCCCGTCAGACTACGAGCTGAAGCTCCTCCAGAACTATGAGAAGGAGGGCCGTCCGCTGGATGAACTGTCAGAGGAGGACCGCTTCATGATGCGCTTTGGGAAGATTCCTCGTCTGGCCCAGCGAATCAACACCCTCACCTTCATGGGCAACTTCCCCGAGAGCGTCAAACGTCTGCATCCGGTAAGTCAGTTGCTCAGGCCATACAATGAAATTGTATCTGCACAACAATGACTTTCTTCTGAATCTGATACTATAGTCATTCATAATCTCACCTACAGCAACTGAACTCTATAATCGCAGCATCCATGTCCATTAAGTCCTCGGCCAAGCTGAAGAAGATGTTAGAGGTGAGTGGAGGGCTTCCCTGTCCGTCACTGCTAACCTCCAATCAGAGAGCCTCTTTAAACAGGCCTGCACTGTCTATGTAACACATTCTGTATCTGGCTCCTCCCCTCCAGATCATCCTAGCCTTTGGGAACTACATGAACAGCAGTAAGAGGGGTGCAGCCTTTGGGTTCCGCCTGCAGAGTCTGGACCTGGTGAGTACCCCTCTGCTCTTGAGGCAAAATTGTTTCCCTTATTTAACATGAATAGAACCATCACTAAAATGGAGATTAACTGTCTGAAATAGTATGGCTTAAGCTCTGTAACGATGAATAAGTCACTATTAGCTAAAGCCAGGTTTGGACTGTTGAGGGAGCTATGGTATGTTGATAGGCAGGCCAGTCCGTCTTTGAGAGATGACTCCATCTGTCCCTCCATTTGTCTCTGTCCTGTCAGCTGCTGGACACAAAGTCTACAGACCGCTCCCAGACCCTACTACACTTCATCTCCAGCATCGTCCAGGAGAAATACCCTGAACTCAACAACTTCCACACTGAGCTGCACTTTGTGGACAAGGCTGGCCTAGGTGCGTGAACGCAATCAACGCTTGCACGCATGCACACACATGCATGCGCAAACACATTTACACACAGCTTTAAAAAATGCAGCCCTTCATAGTGAGAATAACTGACGCCCTGTTTCTCTCCTGTGTTTGTGTGTTTCAGTGTCTCTGGACAGTATTCTTCAGGATATCCGCTCTCTGGAGAGGGGAATGGAAGTGACGAAGAAGGAGTTCCTGGTGCAGGAAGACAACACAGTGCTGAAGGATTTTGTCAAGGCAAACAGTGAATTACTGGACTCTTTACTCAAAGACAGCAAGACCGCTCAGGTTGGAATTCCATAACATTTGAACTTAATAGACACATCCAACAACATCATTCCACAGAAGATGTTCAATACCTATTTTATGATGTGTGTGTGTCATCTCTCCTCCTCTTCCTCTCTCACCTCCACCACTAGGAGGCATATGGCTCGGCGGTGGAGTATTTTGGAGAGAACCCCAAGACCACGCAACCCTCCATGTTTTTCCCTCTGTTTGTCCGCTTCATGAAGGCCTATAAGGTGAGGTGGTGCCCCCATAATGAGGCAGCACAGAGGGAAAGGATAATGAAATAGCTCATTATATTTCACTTGTGTCTATTGTGGGTGCATTTTGTATTTATATGAATGTTTGTTAAAGAGACAGTGCAGTCAAAAACGTGATTTTCTTGTGTTTTAAATATATTTTCCACACTATGAGGTTGGAAAAATACTGTGGAATTGTGAAAATTATGATGATGCACTTTTAGTGTAAGAGCTATTTGAAAAGACTGGCTGAAATTTCAGCTTGTTTGGCTGTGTGGGATTTTTGCACCACCTGGTAAATTAATAGACCAATAAAAAAGAAAGTTTGCCCTCCTCTCTGCCAATAGCAGCTAGTTTTCAGGTTACACATCCCTCCTATTAGGCTCCTCCAATTAGGCCCCTCACTCAGACCACTTCCAGACAGTCCTAGCAAAATTCTTGCTTGAGAAATAGCATTTTGCTAAGAAGCTATTTTTGTTTCTTTTTACCATTTTAATTGAAAACAATCACAGCAAGGTACTTAATTGTTGCCCAGAAATGATTTGATATTGAGATAAAACGGCTGCATTGGACCTTTAATGACCTGTTTTTGTGTCTGTGTCCCACACAGCAAGCAGAGCAGGATAATGAACAGAGGAAGAGACTGGAGGCCCAGAGCAGCGAGAACCAAGCAGAGTCTCCCTCCCCTAGAAAGAAAGAGGCTGCAGGACACAAGGTATGACAATAGACTATAGACCGATGCCCCATACCAACTCAACCACCACAATCTCTACATTCAATACAGTCAGTTAAAAAACTTCCCCTATGACTGCTCGACCAGTGACTGGTCATTCTAGTGTGGTCCATACTACATATGCCAATGTGTCAGCTTTACCCTTTGACCCCTGCCAGTCTCCCATGATGCCCAAGATGGACCTGATAGCGGAGCTGAAGAAAAGGCAGGTGAAGCCCCAGGTGAAGGATGGGGCCCTGGAGGACATCATCACAGGTATGACAAACCACTATGGCTAGAATACATTATGCACTATAGTCTTATAAGTCATTATAGTTTATGATCTATAAAACATCAGAGTTAAGGACGCTTATAGTCAATGTCATAACACATTATAAGTGGGCTATAAGGCACTATAAAATACATTAATGCTTTATATGTATGTAAATCACAAAGTGTTATCACACTTTTCACCAGTACATTCTGAGATAGATATCCCTTGCTAAGTTTCAGTGGTTGTGTCTATGTGCTTTGTCCCAGACCTGAGGAACTCCCCGTTCAGAGCAGCAGATGGACGGAGACCAGCACAGCGTCAAGACACCTGAACAACTCCAGCTCCAAGACCCACAACTCCACTGAGATTACTGTACACACACTCAATATCAAAGTGTATGCATACACAGAACACAAATACATACTTGTATTGTACATACACAATACACATACATTAGTACTGGAGATGATGTAGCCTTTTACTTATCAATACACATTTAAACAACAATATGAATTGTCAAAATAGATACGCAAGGTAGATGGATTATTTTAAATATGTTATTGGACCATAAACAGATATGGCTCATTAACCTTTACGGACCAAATAATGATGATCCAAAATTCTTTGACAATATATATAATAAATTATCAAGCCTGCAAGCAATTCAAGACAATATTGTTATGGTGGGGGATTATAATACTGTTTTAAATAGCTCAATGGACCGTAAAGGAAATCACACCACAAACAATCACCCACATGCTCTTAAGGAAATTGTGAATGTCATGGATACATTAGAATTAGTAGATATATGGAGGCTTAAATATACTGATCTAGTGAGAGATACATGGCGGAGACTGAATCAAGCTAGTCGTCTTGACTTCTTTCTTATCTCATTCTCGTTGGCACCAAAAGTTTAAAAAGTGTTGATAGGGGACAGAATGCGGTCGGACCATCATATAATAGGCATATACATTACTCTTACTGAATTTCCACGTGGGCGAGGATATAGGAAATTTTATCAAAGCCTATTGGATGATAATTTATTTATAATTAGAACAAATGAATTTATAACTGACTTTTTCCAACATAACATAGGTACAGCGAATCCCCTTATTGTATGGGACACCTTTAAATGTGCCTTTAGAGGCCATGCAATTCAGTACTCATCTCGAAAACAAAAGCAATTTAGGTCAAAAGAGTTTATACTAAGAAAGGAAATAGAAAGTCTAACAGAACAGATAGATGGCAATCAAAACTGTAACATAGAGGCTCAGAATAAATTAGAGGAAAAACAAAAAGAAATTGAGAAACTTACTCAAGAAAGATCAAGTGTAATATATTATAAAAATAAAGCAAACTGGATGGAATATGGGGAAAAATGCAAAAAAATATTTTTTAATCTTCAACATAGGAATGCTACCAAAAAGAACTTAATGAAACTGGTTACAATTGACGGAGTCACCCATAATTCACCAAATGATATTTTGAAGGAAGAAACAAAGTACTTTAAGCATATGTTTTATTTTCAGTCGCCTCCATCTCCTCTAACTGAAGCTAATTGTAGAGATGTTTTTTCTATTGATAATGTCAAATTAACAGCCACACAGAAAGACTCATGTGAAGGTGAAATTACAGAGGAGGAACTTCTGGATGCAATTAAAGACTTTAAGTCTGGGAAAACTCCAGGGTTGGATGGCATACCAGTCGAGGTATACCAAACCTTTTTTGATATACTAAGAGGACCGTTATTAGCATGTTTTAACCACTCCTATGTAAATGGTAGATTATCTGACACTCAAGAAGAAGGTCTGATCTCATTATTACTGAAACAGGATACAAGTGGAAAATATAAAGATCCAGTCCATTTACAAAATTGGAGGCCCCTTACACTTCAGTGTTGTGATGCAAAAATCCTAGCAAAATGTATAGCGCATAGAATTAAAAAGGTATTGTCGGATATTATTCATTCTAATCAGACAGGTTTTTTACATGGAAGATACATTGGAGATAATATAAGGCAAGTATTGGAAACAATAGAACACTATGGAAAATATGGGAAAACAGGCCTGCTATTCATCGCAGACTTCGAAAAGGCATTTGATAAAGTTCGACTGGGGTTTATATATAAATGCCTGGAGCATTTCAATTTTGGAGAATCTCTTATAAAATGGGTCAAAATCATGTATAGTAACCCTAGGTGTAAATTAGTAAATAATGGCTATTTCTCAGAAAGTTTTAAACTGTCAAGAGGAGTGAAACAAGGTTGTCCACTATCGGCATATCTATTTATTGTGGCCATCGAGATGTTAGCTATTAAAATTTACATTTTAGTCATTTAGCAGACGCTCTTATCCAGAGCGACTTACAGTTAGTGAGTGCATACATTATTTTATTTTTTTTCATACTGGCCCCCCGTGGGAATCAAACCCACAACCCTGGCGTTGCAAACACCATGCTCTACCAACTGAGCTACAACTGAGCTACAAAGCATGATGTTTCCACCCCCATGCTTCACAGTAGGTATGGTGTTCTTTGGATGCAACTCAGCATTCTTTGTCCTCCAAACACGACGAGTTGAGTTTTTACCAAAAAGTTATATTTTGGTTTCATCTGACCATATGACATTCTCCCAATCCTCTTCTGGATCATCCAAATGCACACTAGCAAACTTCAGACGGGCCTGGACATGTACTGGCTTAAGCAGGGGGACACGTCTGGCACTGCAGGATTTGAGTCCCTGGCGGCGTAGTGTGTTACTGATGGTAGGCTTTGTTACTTTGGTCCCAGCTCTCTGCAGGTCATTCACTAGGTCCCCCCGTGTGGTTCTGGGATTTTTGCTCATCGTTCTTGTGATCATTTTGACCCCACGTGGTGAGATCTTGCGTGGAGCCCCAGATCGAGGGAGATTATCAGTGGTCTTGTATGTCTTCCATTTCCTAATAATTGCTCCCACAGTTGATTTCTTCAAACCAAGCTGCTTACCTATTGCAGATTCAGTCTTCCCAGCCTGGTGCAGGTCTACAATTTTGTTTCTGGTGTCCTTTGACAGCTCTTTGGTCTTGGCCATAGTGGAGTTTGGAGTGTGACTGTTTGAGGTTGTGGATAGGTGTCTTTAATACTGATAACAAGTTCAAACAGGTGCCATTAATACAGGTAACGAGTGGAGGACAGAGGAGCCTCTTAAAGAAGAAGTTACAGGTCTGTGAGAGCCAGAAATCTTGCTTGTTTGTAGGTGACCAAATACTTATTTTCCACCATAATTTGCAAATAAATTCATAAAACATCCTACAATGTGATTTTCTGGAGAAAAAAATTCTCAATTTGTCTGTCATAGTTGACGTGTACCTATGATGAAAATTACAGGCCTCTCTCATCTTTTTAAGTGGGAGAACTTGCACAATTGGTGGCTGACTAAATACTTTTTTCCCCCACTGTATATATATAAATATATATATATATATATATATATATATATATATATATATATATATATATATATATATATATAATATAATTATTGTAAAATTAACTCTGTCCATAAGGTGTAGATAGTAAGTATAGACCGGAAGTAGAGGCCTGGGCATTGTTGTTCACTAATTTACTCCAAGTAGGGAAAGGATGGCGGGGTTGAAAAGTAATAAAGGGGAGTATATATATAAAAAACATGGGGGATTGGAAGTGATGCAGACAATTACATTGATAGAAGATACAATCTATCTGCAATATTAAGCTGATCCACCCCCCCCCCCCAAAAAAAAAAATATATATATATGAATTTACTCTGCAAATAGAACACAGAGTTTAAGCTATACGTCATGAGCAAATGTGTAACATAGAAATACATCTATGCATGTTTAACCATTATCCATTTAGCTTTTTAAAATAACTATACTTTTTTGTTTTGTTCATCTTTTAATTAGTACATTTTTTAAAATAAATAAAAATTACGTTTCACATTACTGTATTACCCCAAATTCATGACTCAATTACTTGCTTACCCTAGAGTGGATCCGTGACCTGCCAAGCCATGCCATTAGAAAGACAATGTGCCCTGTAATCATATCAGAGTGTTCACATTATGTCTGTAAATGAAACAGCCTCCTAGCCCCAGGGAAGATGAACAGAGAGGCCATTCCATACCCAGTTAACAATACTACAATGACACGT